TCTGGCAACTGGTCAGGGAAGGACAGAAGTGGGACAAAAGCACGGAGGTGGCAGTAACTCAACAACATATCTAGCACCCAGAACACGGGAAGAGCAGCAGCGTCTGGGTAAAAGCAGAACAAAGAAAGTTCCCAAGGTGTTTCCACAGAGTGTTATTTTCAGCCTGGCCACCCAGAAAACAACATTTTGGGGGTGGGGGGGGCAGAGAGAAGAGGTGAGTTTGAGCCCATGCTGTCGAATAGAGAGGTTGCTCCAGACCAACTCCTTTCAGGCGACCCGCTGTAGAAAGTCACGATGAGTTTTTCATTCCCTGGGCGTACGCTTGCAGTTCTCAAGGCAACGGGCAGGCGAATGTCCGACCGGAGTCCTGCTCCTTGGCTGAGGTCGAGGATACCAGCTCTGGCCTTCTGCCAAGGCAAGCGCACGGAAGAGGCAAAGCTGCAGCGCAACAGTGTGAGGACCCTGGGTTGCGGCAGGTGTTTTTAGCTAATACAGATAATAAATAATTGCAGTCACCATGAAACTCCTGGTTGGAACTGGCTCCAGACGAACAAAACTGTTGAACAAAATCACTAGCTAGGAAAAAAAAAACCCCAAACCCGAACAATGCAAAAACCAATGCCTCTATTTAGAAGACAATAACACTTTTTTAAAATACGTTTCACTATCTAGATCTAATGGAAGTACTTCTAAATGAGAATATTCCTTTAATTGAGGGAAAAAATACTTTTGTGATTTTTAAAACAAGTTTCCACTTGACAAGTAAAAAAAGTGCTACTTCTCAAGGCCCTATACATACCTTAATATGGAGGTGTGCTTTTATCCTCAACAGTAAATGTAACTGCCAAGTCTGCATTCACATTAAACCACACAGCTGGTAACTGTGACACAAATACCAGAGCAAAAAGAACACCATTTTTGTACCCTCCACCGTCAAGAACAATGTTGTGTTGTGTTTCGTTAAGTTCAAGAAAAAACCCAAAACCTTAAGGATAAATTGCATCGCTAACATGCAATGGCTTCCTGTGCAGTGAGAACAGTTAAGAGATCTGTAAGGAAAAGCATTTCAAATCACCGGCTGCTTTTTACCTGGTAACTACAGACGCTTAACAAAGTTTCGCTCAGTGTTTCGGATTAGTTGTACAAATCAGTTTTGTGAAAGGACCAATTACATTAATAATAAACAGTCAGTGCATACTGGTAGTAGGTAGCGCGCAACACTTTACAGAAAAGACAATACTAGGCCTACAGCAAAATTGTCCGTTGTTCCTGGGCGATACGGGAGCCTGCTCTGTTTCTAGAAGAGTACTTCGCAGCCCACACTCCTAAGGCCATTTGCAAATTTTACCCGTGTCGTTCCTGTAATGAATCAGGCTGTTTTATTTTCGCTGACGCAGTGGTTATGATCGTCTATGGCTGTCAGTGCAGGTACAAAGAGAGTGCGGGGTTGAAAAAAGCAGGATCTCAAGCAGTTTTAAAATGTAGTTTTGAAGATGTAACTTAGCTGGTAAGAAAAGTCTCCTTCCTTGATGATAGTGCAGATTCTCTTCCATCTCTATACCACAAAAAATTATACTTGACACGACCGTTTCTCCACAGTGGACAACGCTGCGTAGTGGCAGTTGGTATTAGGTCAGCTCTAATAGTTTATTCTCCAAGCTCACATGTTAAAGAAAATCTACTAAGACGTCCTGATGAGTGGGGACCTTTCATCTTCAGTACTCTGAAAGAAAGAAATCGCAACACAGCAAAGTTAAATGGGGCACGAGAGAGCTTCCACGGTGGGGAAGCTGGATTGCCGAGACTCCAAACAGGAAAGGAAAAAGCTCTTGGCTCCTACTTCTAAGCACAATTTCCTGTAAGAGAACCAGCACTGCACTAAAAAAGCGCCAGAGGGTGGATGGCAGCTTGGGCAGGGACCTCGGGCTCCTGTAGCACCTTACAGATGATGGAAGGCCGTAACTACCCTGCTGGGAGGGGGTTCACAGGGAGAGCTATAACTAGCTGAATTACTTTTGTTCGCAGGAAAAGCAACAAAAGCAATGTACAGAAAACAGGGAATTTAGGTGTCCTTTTAACCCCTCTGTCGTATTCAAGAACATCCAAGAGAGCTGGTACAAAGCTATACATCTAAGGTGGGGCAGGAACGCAGAGGACAGGGGCCTCCAGCAATGGGACAGTTTTGACTCTCTAGTTGAGCCTGCCAGTAACACAGGCGGGCTCAAAAGCTCACAGGAAAAAGTACCAGCCTCCCTTGTAAAGGAACCTGAAGTACAGTCCTGAGAGCATCTGCTCATGAAACGCTTCCTGGGCACCCAGAGGGAAAATCAGGAATGAAGCCACGAGAGCCAAAGATCAGCTGCTCAAAGCCGCTGCTCGAGGAAAGGAGGCTGCAGACATCACCGCCAAAGTGCTGCCGCTGCTGCCACCACCATCACACCCCAAGTCCCACTGGAGACGTGATGGGAGTGGGACCCACTGACCCAGATGGGTCCCACTGACTAAGACAAAACATACGCGCGGTGTGGCTGGGTGCTCTGGAGGTAGGCGTGAGGGTGCTTTCTCACACTGTTAGAAAGTATTTAGGAAACATCACACAAGCGAGACCACGCTAAGACCACAGCAACTACAAGGAGAAAACAGCCTACTAGAGTACCCACTCCGTATCTCCAACACCAAAGGATCCATAGTTTGTCTCATCTGAACCCGACTGCTTGCCTATTGGGGTGAAATTTTGGCATCAGCTTTCAACAGGACTAGCAACCTTAATGCCAGCATGTCGTTTTGTGACAGAATTTTTCATAAGTAGATGCAGAAGCTAGTACTGTCTGGATAAAACCTCTGCATGCTGCTCTATGTAAAATTAATCTCTTCTTTGGTCATAATTTTGCGTTATGATTATGAAAAATAATCAACTGGCACGACACAATTGTTTCTAGTGAGAAGACTGACAGATTGTCGCTGACTAAATCTGTCCAAAATATGGCCAACTTTCGCATCTTATCCTCCGGGGTCCTCTAGACAGGCTGTTTTTTAAAAATTTTTTTACTACTGTTGGTAAGGGAATTAGGCACAGAAGATACGACCTGCCTTACCATGTTTCTTATATTAGCTCCATGCCTTTCTTTTGGTGCATTTATTCTGAGTCTATTAAAACTTCCCTTCCCTAGAAAGGTCATTTTAAACAAAAACAACATATAAAAATGTGTGTGTACTGAACAGGTAAAATCAACGAAAAGAAAATCAAATACAAGCAGATGTCCAGTAAGCAAGGTCCAATTCAAATGCTACTTACCTCTTCACTTATTCCCCGGGACCTGCACACGAGCACAATAAAAACAATCCCAAAAATGATTCCTAGAGCCATGATTACAAAGGGGATTCCAGTTACAACACTGGCTTCCAGCAGGACGTGCTTGAGTTTGTTGGCAGATACTTCATCAATCAGAACACTCTGGAGCAGAGAGAGATGAAGAGGAAAGAAGAGCTTTATTTCTGTTCCTCCTTTATATTAGACTGCTTTACTTTTGTGAAGGGTAGGGAAACAACGGTCCCACAACTCTCCACCTCTGCTTCACTGCTTCTTGATATACTTTCCCTCTAAGAATTCCGAGCTCTCCTTGTGTGGCCAGAAGGATCATCTAGTCTGTTTTTCAAAAGAAAGCAGGGATTTTTGATTCTCAGTTTAGGAATGGAATAATATAGGCCTGGAATAATGGAGTACGTCATCGAAACTAGTCCCCTAGAGTCCTCCCTGAATCCAATGAATTCAGCGATCCAACCACAGCCCAGGAACATTCACAAAAGACTACTCAAAAAACCCGTGATCCTGTAAACTCTCACCTCCTCATCTGAGCAGCCCTTCTCACAGCCAATGCCTTTGAAATTAAAGGGACCGTCTGACTGAGAGTGTTTTGCAGGTCTGAGCTTAATGCTATGGTCAACAAGCAGCAGGAGGATGTTAGTTAAGAAACAGCTACAGCTTCCTACCTATCACTGTATAAAACAACAAGAAAAACAGAGTTTTCTTTCCTGGCTAGCTCAAAGACAGTATTTTTGCAAGCATAAACATACCAGAATGCTGCAAAGAAATAACAAAAATATTTACCTCGTTTATATACATCACTGGAAAAACTAGTGTTTGGATGTTGCCAGTTTCACTGTGTGAAAAAAACAAAATTAAAAATCAGGGTTTTGCAACTTTTCAACTTGAGGTTTGGAAGACAGATTATAATAGCGCAATGAACGAGGAAACCGTCCCTAAAAAACCTCTGGGCTGTTCCTTTTTATGGTCAGTTTTCACCCCCTAATGGAACAGAACAATCTCCATCTCCAAGATGAATAATCAAGTCTGTTCTGGGAGCGATGGCATATTTTGGGACTTGGTGGGGACAGAAAGAGAGGGATCCGCAAGAGGCTCATGAATAACCAACTGAATGACAGATTTGTGCCAGTCAGCAGG